ACACACAGAGAGAAGCAACATGCACAGAGGGAGTACTACATACAGAGGAACTATGGGTTTGGAGAAATGAAAAAACTTGTTTGGGGATTGAGTGACAGATAGAAGCAGCACGCACAGAAGAACTATGGTTTGAGGATATGAAAAAACCCATTTGGGGATTGAGTAAGAGAGAGAGAGAGAAGTAGCACGCACATAGGAAGCTGCAATATGCACATGTTTGGAGATATGAAAAAACCCCTAATCTGGTGTTTTTTTAAAAGATTTTTTTTTAAGCTTATGTATTGATTTTGTAATCTGGAATTCTAGAGGCTCTTTGAACCCTAATTTGGATTGAATTTTTGGTGGAATTTTGTTGAGCCAAAATTTGGAAATTTTTTATTCAATGGTTTTCATGCTTGTTTATTCTAATTTGATTCTAATTTGTGATAATCTGGATAGTTTGAGTCCTAATTTAAAATAATTTGGATGGTTTGAGCCCTAATTTATGATAATCTGTAAGTTTGAGAGGGTAGCTTTAATTATGGTTGTCTAACCCCGAAATGGGAGACATCAAGACTTCCACAAATCCAATTTAGTCTGAAAAGTCTACTGTTGGATCCCAAATTACTTGGCTAAACCTGTTTTCCACCAAACGGATCCCTAAATACCTGGCAGGAAAACATCCTTGCCACAACCAAACCGTTGTGCAAAGCAATTGCAATAATTTCATCTTTTTTATCTTTAATTACAGGTTTTGCATTTTGTTTGAAATATTTTGGTTAACGTTTGTTCTAAATGATATTGGAAATTTTGCCTTTTATTTAGCATCAAGAATACATGAAATCAAATTGAAATTTTAGGGCATGTTTGCCATCTCTATTATTATGCAATTGCTCCTTGTTTCTTTCTGGATAAAAATCTCATAATGTCTATTGAAAATCTCCCTTACCAATCCCTTGCCAATGGAAACTAATAATTTTCATTCTCCTTGATTCCTAGAGTTTTCCATAATCGTGAGTTGATCTCTCTCTCTCTCTCTCTCTCTCTCCTCTTAAATCCCCGTCAGCTAAATCCCCTTCTAGTTACTCCTAACCGTAACTTTTTTCTATCAAGGGAAGCTTATAAAATCATATTTAACAGGGACTATTTACCATCTCATCAACAAGTATGATTTGTTTTTGGAACAAGGAGGTTACAATTACTTACAACAATCGAATGTCAAATCTGATAACTTGAGTGTGTCATTAAGTTCGAAAAAAAAATTTTTGGACTTTGAACTTGATCAATGAAATAAATGCAGTCACCCAATTTGACATCAGTAGTCAAGATTAATTGTGACCATATTGAACCAAAAGTATGATTTGTTTCAAACTTTATACCTATGTATTACTAGATGAGCTATTTGAAATCTGTTTAAAAGAATGATGGTTTATATGACATTAAAGTTGTCAAAAGAAATTTAACAAATTTGGCTTCAATTACACCATCTTCATTGTCGCTTTTCCAGGCAAGCACACGCACACCCACGCACATACGGGTGCCCTAAATCTGCCATTGACCTTTGATGGTTTAGTGTCTATCCAATTTCTCTACTTGGAAGTATAGGAGCAAAAAAAAGACTAATATTAAGAACACATTTTCTCTGAGTCCATGTAGAAATGAGTCACCTCTTAAAAATCTATTTTTGAGATGGATTTTTTGACTTAATTTTTACGAACATGTGATCTCTAACATCAAGATCATGAACATAAATAAATTTTAAAAATTAGAAATAATTCTATTAAGAAAACATTCAGACCATTAGTTTCAATTGTTTTTAGATGGACCACCTATTTGCATGCATCTTTAAGATGGATGATTTATACCTTGGGACCGTATATTGTAGAAATGCGATCCAGCCCTCATGAAACAATTTTCCTAAAATTAAAATACACGTCATATGGCAAATAAAAATGAGCAACCAAACACTAAATAAATTAACAATATCAAGTTCATAACAGCAAAATTCTGCAAATATAAACAGAGTAAAAGTACCCCAAAACATGCTCTCAGTCACACTAAGGCTTGTTTGATAACTAGAAGCAAGTTCATGAATTGTAAATTGAAAGTTCCTCTTTACTGGGATGATAGAAATTACTGTAAGAAATTCCTGGTTTTTGTGTTTGATACCACCTGGGAAGTTAAAGAAGTTACTTAGTTTCTGTGTTTTGGTAACATGTTGGAAGATTAGCAAGTGATAGTGAAAATTGCAAAATGTAGAGTACAGGTTTCCCATAACAACCATATAAGCCCTAAAATGACAATAGAGAGAATAAATGAAATAGAGAGAATAAATGAAAAACTCCCTAAAAAATGAAAAACAAGTCCTTCAATAAATCTCACGTCATGTATTATCCATTACTTCAGTTGTTAATAGCATATCAAATACACCGAATTTTGGCAAAAAAACAACCTAGAGCAAAACAAATGATATAGATTGTGATGAACATAATCACTTATACCATCTAGCAAGAAAGAAAAAAGACAGATCTTGGACACATTCAAATTGCACCTTTGACCCATCTAGCAAGAAAAAAAAAGATAGATCTTGGACATCCACTCAACAACAATTTTAAAAAACAAAAAGACAAAAAGAACTAAATTTTTGCTCAAATGACTGCATTTTCATGTTGAGAAGGCCTTCACAATAAAAAAAAAATTTCAAATCAGATTGTGGCGATCTTTAAAGTCCATCGATGCAGAAATTAGAAAGAAGCCATTCACACAATTAAAAAATTGCATGTTTTGTGCATCAAGCAAGAGATTGAAAACCAAGACTGCTTAGGCATCCATTCAAATATCCAAAGAAAGACTAACAATTTCATTTAAAAATCAACGTTTTCATAAGAAAACAATCTCTTAGACATCCATTCATCATTAAGAAGGTGTTCTCATATCGTTTGTTGTTTCGTGATCATTCTAGGTAGAGCTGCTCAATGTTGATCAAAAGTATGGCAATAGCCGATTCCGCATAAGGTTCAAGTATTCTTTTGGACTGCACTGCAAGGTAAGTGCCTCATTGCGGGCATTTTGTAGTGGAGAGGTAAAATACTACCCAATATTTTCTCAATCGTTTTTTTTTTTTTGCATTTTCCCTTCGCTTCTCATATTTGGAAATGGGCTTTCGCAAAGATGGGTTGCTTTGTGATGTTTCCATGTTACCAAGAAGCTATAAGGATATTATAGACCACTTCACTTTGCCGGGACCTCCTAAGATGGGTAATGTAATTTGGAAGATCTTTCAAGGGGTGGTGACATGGGAGTCAGAGAGGAATTGAAGAACTTGAAAGATGTAGTAATGGATGTTGAGAGAATTGAGAACAAAATTCTAGATTGTGTGGATTTTTTTTCTCAATTACGAAAGATGGCAAAAGGTATTATAGGTAAATATTTTCTTAAATTTAAGGAACTTAATTAACAATTGTATTTCCAAGCCTCGGCCAACGGGTAGATGGACCCAACCTTCAATTATATATTATAAATTAAATTTTGCTGGAAGTTCTCTGGAGAACCTGGGCTGGCAGGAATGGGAGGTATCCGTAGACTCGGGAGGGATTGTTCTCTTCACATATGTGAGGCCATGTGAGACTGCAACAGCGAACTAGGTTGAACTTAGTTCTCTTTTGCAAGGTCTTAAAATTGCTCAGAATAAGGACTTTAGAGGCACTTTAATAGTGGAAGGTGATTCGTTTAAGGACCCGGTTTCTATGCGGCCAAGCCTACATATGTAGAAACGTGAGCCTATTAGTAAATCTATTTTTTAGATAGATTTTTTTATTTAATTTTTAAGAACATGTAATATCTAACATGGAGATCATGAATATGAAAGTTAAGTAAATTTAAAAAACAAGAAATAATAATTCTAGTACGAAAACATTTGGACCATTAATTTCTATTATTTTTAGATGAAACACCGACTTGCATCCATCTTTAAGATGGATGCCTTACACTTTTGGGACTACATATGTAGTCATGCACTCCAACCCGCACGAAGTAGTCATGCACTCCAACCCGCACGAAACAATTTTCCTTTGCTTAATGCTACTAAGTGATGCAAAAGGAACAAAAGATACCCCGTGGGCTTTAAGATCTATCCCGTTACATGGATATGTGATAAACACATCAATGTTTCTTTCATCCATGTCTATTGTGAGGCAAATGCGGTGGTTACCTGCTTAGCAAAGTGAGGATGTTGATTGCCATGTCTTGTTGTTTCTCATAATTTGTTGTTTTTTGTGTAATAATATGTGCCAAGCAAGTTTATCAATAAAGTTCTTAATATTGTCAAAAAAATATTTGTTGAGTTTGATAACTTGTTTCTAAGTTATAAAAAAATAAAGGAAGCAATTTTGTTTGAACCAGAATTCTAGATATCTGGAAATGTAGAACTTAGCCAATTCTAAATTTTCATTGATGTTATTCATTGATAAGGGAGTGATGTTTTGAATGAGATTTCTAAATCCAGGCTCAGCCATGATCGGTCCAATAAATTGGACGGTCTAGATAACATAAAAGAAATAATGTGGTTCGAAGTTACCACAAAATATACAGTTGAGCATTTATAAGTTTAATTTTATGTTTTCGCTATACATATCAATTGAGCTCAAAATTTGGTCATCCGCACTGGTCACCCTCATGAATCTATACAAGGTGAAAAAAAAAAAAAAGGTTAGAAAAATGGAAGGGCCAAAATACCCCTTAAACCTTGAGGGGTGTTTTGATCATTTTATTGATTTGAATCATCTTTTTTATGTTTTATACAGATGCGCATACACTTCAAATTTCATCTTGATCTAACATTGAGACAAAAATGCATAGATGAAGATAAGACCCACATATTCCAAATGACATAACAGTTTATATCGTACCTAAAAGCCATCAATCTCAACCCCATCAAGATCTAACGAGTTTTTAAGTATTTGAATTTTATCCTCTTCTAACAGGAACGAGCTAAAATATGGAGCATATCTTCTTCTAGCACTTTCGCACCTCTAAAAAATAGCTTTTTTCAAACCATTTAAAGTCGGCTTACATGGATCCTGGTACATCATTTTGCTCTATCGAGAGCCACACCCCCAATTTTTAGATAATCCTAAAAATATTTTACACCAAACTTACATATTATGATAAAATTTGGAGGTGCACCTTAATTGGGTTATTTAATGTTGCAACCTCATAGAAACCACAGCCTAGATAAATACAAAATGAAATAGTCAGGGATTGGATCTATGCGGCCTTGGCCTTGGCCTAGGCCTTGGTCTATTTACAACATGTGAGCCTCCCTGAGGGAAATTGGATCTTTGCTCCTCCACATGATCATCATCCATTGCAATTTGTGGTGATCGATGTGAATAAGCATTACGAGATTTCTGAGGCCTGCGGCTTCTCGATCCCTTCGTATTATATGGGAGCGGTTGAATAGTCTGTAGATCAGGTTCAGGTACAAAACTAAATGGAAGCCTTCTATTGTCCATCTTCTTGAATGTAATGGAAATTCTAAAGAATCATCAAAGCAAAAGAATCAGAAAGGGAAGGATGAGGACAGGCAAAAGCAAATGATTCATGTTACAGATATCATGAAAATTATTACAAAATTCTTCCTTCCCTCTTAGTTCTTTCCAGATTTTGCTGGAATACAAGATTCCATTTCATTTATAAGCACAAACAAATCCAGCATTTAAATAACGAGAAAATAAATGAACAGCATTAGTTAGGATGACTATTTTCAAAACTAGTACCATAAACCTCTATACCATGGAAGCAGTAAGCAGGGAACAGCTTCTTTTGGGGCTGCTGCCAGTTCAGAATAATGATAACAAATTACGTATTCAAATTCAAGGAAAAGGTTTGAGAATGTTTTCTATGAAAAGAAAAGAAGAGAAGAAATATATTCCAATATATGCAAATCCAAATTTTGGAAAACACCATATAAAAATTGTTCTATATTTCTGCAAATTTACCTGAGCCTGATACATTAAATAATTTACAATTATCAACAGATCTAAAATCCAATTAATTTTTTATCCATTCACTTGCTTCGAAGTTCAAATTAAAAGCATTCATTAAAGTCATGCCTTCAAATACCCTCGAGTCTAAGTATTTACAAAATCACAATATACAAATCTCAAGTTAAAATATGACACTAAAATGCACAAGTATCGCAAACTACCTTTTAGAGGGAACGACAGGCATGCAATGCTTGGCAACATCTGCAGAATTTCCATTCAAGACTAGCACTGAACCAATTGGCAAAGGTAGGGCCATTGGACCCTCAAAGACACCAGGCTCCACACATTGCAAATTTGTACCAAAGAGAATGCTGCACTCATTGAGGAGAGATAGAGTGCAGAGAGGTCGAACAAAGTCATGGTGATCAATGAGAGGAGGCATGAAATCTCCCTCGTCGTAAATGTCAACAACACAGCTGTTGGGGATGCACGTAGGAGGGAGGACATGCCACCCGATCAGCCTCTTGATGATCACCTTGAAAAGATGAGGAATGGGTTCTGCATCTTCATCTCGAATGATGCCTTGTGAGGTCCCGTATTTATTCTGTCATCATAATATTTGTAAGCTTAGTGCCTGTATGTGTGTGTGTGTGTGCGCGAGTGTGTGTGTGAGTGAGAGAGAGAGAATTAGGTCACGTGCGAAACACAACATATCCAATGGTTGACAACAATTGAAAGTCATTCAAATAAAAAACAATTAAACCATTAACATTTGAAGAGAGAGAGAGAGATTACAGAATGAATGACTTTGAAATACCTCAGAATTGTAACAGCAACCAAATTGGATGGCTGCCCCTCTTCCTTGTGCTTTATGACTTGTATATGTGCATTCTGCAGATAAGAAGACGTACATATCAAACCTTCGAGCACATGATGCAGTTCTTGGAAAAGAGGAATTAACCAGAAAGTATAATGAATGTCAAAAAGAACTAAAGAGTTTGTAGGTTTCCTTTGCCTTGTTTTAAGCAGCATCCATTGATAAAATAGAGGCAGGGTTATATGACATAGGGACCATAAAGGGGCTTCATAATGATTACGCCGAATTTATTTGCTCAATGACCTCAGACGTTAAGCAACAGTGAATTAAAATTTTGAAGAAATAAACACCAGGAAATACGGAGAAAGAAATGAATTCAAAAATAAGAAATACACAGAAAATAAAGAAAATAAAACCAGCAGGTTGCCATGCAAGTATTGATAAGTTGTCAACAACTTTAAAAACCAAAACAACAAGTAAAGCAAAAACTTGACTCTAACACTAAAATTAATGAAAGCCACCCGTAGCAAGCTACCTAAGGCTATGTAACATGGAAATGGTTCTTGGCCACACCAATGACATGGCACGTGCCTGATACAATCTCAAAAAATTGTGAACCTTTTTTTTGGAGGGAATGCCACAAAGAGTACTTAAACTCACACAAATCTCCCCTTCCCCCCTCTCTAAATGTTGTATGGACGTGTGGCATCTTAAAGGCTAATCATTTCCCTTTGTTTCTTTCTGCGGGTAGTTCACCTGTAGGAATCCAACTTGGGCTTGAGGTTGGCGTTTCTTAAACAGGTGCCCATGTGGAACATCAGCACCCATATTGGCGTCATTGTAACAAAGGTTCCAGGTGACAATGCAAAACAAGTTCTATTTTGATTTTGAGGAAATACAATTCAATGAAATAACATGTACCAACTAAAAACATCTTAAGGCTACTACACTGGCCAAACCTACTAATGGATATCAACCTAGGACGTCAAATATTAGGACCAAAAACATTAATTCTTAGCTGCACCATTAAATAAATAACAACGAGAATTAAAAGATTAAAATGGACATGACTTGAAGTCCAAACATTAAACACAAAACATGAAAAATAATAGGAAGGAGAAAAACTATGACGAGAGATCTGAAAAAATGCAAAAGAAATGTAAGTATAATATATTATGAGTTCTTCATGACGTCAACACATCACACATCAAAGTGTCAATGCATGGCACACACTTACAAGGAGAGAGTAGTGTAGGATCATGGGAAAAAAAAACGGCATCATCTTCTTCCTAGGCAGCCCCCTCACCCCACCACTGTGGCCGGGCCACCTGCCTAATGGTAAGCAGGCCTTTTGGGGAGGGCTGGCCCTGAGCACCTGCCTAGGTAGGTGACCCCCTAGGTAGGCTGGGCGCCCAGGTCTCGTCCATGCCTGAGGACATTTTAGGAAATGCCCTTGGGCAAGGGAAATTGTCTTTTTTCCCCCTTTTAAGGGAGAAGAAAATCTTGGGGGTAGTCAAAATTCATCAAGCTATTTTCGAGACATTCAAGCTCCAAAAAACCCTCAGAAAAAGGATATTTTGGAAGTTTTTTCAAGATCTAAAAATTTTACAAGTTCGATAAATTTATTTATCTTTAGTTATTTGATACATTGTGAACTAGAAAGAGAAGTTCTAAAGGGCACTTTAGGATCATAATCATCCAAAACTTCAAATATCGAAGAAGATGGTGATTGAAATCTAAACTCCTATTAAATTTCTTTTCATCTTTTGTGCAGTTTTATGCCTTTCTCATTCTCACTAAATCGCAGGTTAGAACTTCAGATTTTTCCATTTTGGCAAGTGTATAGACTATGGAGATTGGAGTCTATGAACATTGCAGTAAGGACTTGTGGTTGTGGTCTTGTTTGTATTTAAGTTATTTAGTATTTGATATTCAATATTTACTGATATTTGAGTGTTTTACGGAATCATGGATATCATTTGTTAGTTCTTCTGACTTTACAAATTTGAAATGAGGTTGAATGAATTCAATGTTCTTCAGCGATCAGCTGCATAATGCATAGACATTTGGTTAGAATACATATAAATGCATAAATATACCACAAATGTTAATTGTAATGCATATATGTTTGTTTGGGCCACACATATATGCATATGTCTGTCTGGGGCGCCTCAAGACCTCAGCGCCCCCGCGGGAGCAGGTTTCCTTCTCTTCTTTTTCCATCCCTCCCATGGCAACCTAGGTATCACCTAGCATTTTTTCGAACCTCGCATAGGATAATGATACATGGGAGTGGTATCTATTAGACATGATAAAATCTAGGCATATATTTCAAAGCTGAAGTATTTGCATATGGGTGTGTTAGTGTGTATTTCACAATATGAAACTATATATTTCTTCCTGTATTCATCATATAGATAACTTATAATGTTTTGCCACACAAAAGCTTGACATCAAAGAGCTGACTGGTAATCTCTATCTTTAATTTTATTATCACAAAGTAATACAATACAAGCATGTCACTGGACAATTTATCAAACCATCATCTAAAACATATGGCAACAAATGTTTAAAAGCCAACTTGGCACTCACCCAGCCAACTTGATTTGTCCGACCCCCCATATCAGACATCAATCTGGCTTGGGAATCAGCCAAGACTACTCCTATCCTGTTTTTGTCCACATATTGCTTTGAGTTGATTTTGAATCAACAATTCTAAACTCTACTTGGTTCTGACAAAGATCAGACTTGATCTTTGTGTTATTTCAAAATATGAAACTATATATTTCTTGCAGCATGCATATAGATAACTTATCCACACACAAGCTTGACATCAAGAAGCTGGACTGGCAATTTCTATCTTTAATTTTAGTATAACGGAATAGATGACTCGAACTAATACAATACAAGCATGTCACTGGACAAATTTATAACACCATCATCTAAAACATAAGGCAACAATGTTTAAAAACTAACTTGGCACTCACTCAGCTAACTTGATTTGTCCGCCCCCCATATAAGACATCAATCTGGCTTGGAAGTCAGCCAAGACTACTCATATCCTGTTTTTGTCCACATATTGCATTGAGTTAATTTTGAATCAACAATGCTAAGCTCTACTTGGTTCTGACAAAGATCAGACTCGATCTATGAGTAAGATGCTTGAGAAGTTTCAACAGGAGTTCCTCAAGAAGGACAACAACCATGGCAATAAGTTTCACCTTTTTCAGTGGAAAGAGATTTGTAGATGTTGAAGATTACCAGAGTTAGGGAAAAAGAAAACAGTACTATACAATTTTACCAGTATAGCACAAGACTTCAAAATAATGACGCATCCTACAAATAGAGAAATAAATTTTAATGTCAGACTGCCAGACTAGTCCAGTTCAACCAGCCCTAAAGAATTTGACATTCTTAATCAAGTTTGACAAAATCTCATTTGAAGATGGGACAAGACATCTCCTACACATGATTCCTTCTCCAACTAGTTGAGCCGACAGGTCAAGCCTGGACGTAATAACAATAGTATTGTATTGTTTCTTTTTACTCCTTTTGCCCCTTCATGTAGCCTATATTCTTTGGGACTTTCATGAAATACTACATTTATCGAAGGACAATAGAGTCACATGAAGGTGTATAAAAGTAGCTTGAATGGTCTTTCAAACCCCAACACACAAAGGGTTTCAGTTAAATTCTCAGCTCCTCTTGAACCATAGCATTTTCAACATAGGAGAAGAACCTGTACCTATTTGCAAAGCTGGATTACACATCCAAGAGGACAGGAAAAAGAAGAGCACATGTGGGTTGACTTGGTGGTCTTCAAAAATCAGGAACAGAAAACTACTCCAGCTGTAGAGATTACAACAAATGGATATCTCATATCCATACTCTTTTCCAATAAATGCGCTAGCAAGTGATGTATCATGAAGAACGTTTTTTTTTTTTTTTTTGAGATTCGATTGTATCATAAACTACGTTTTTAATACTTTTTTGTATCCTTTTTGAGTTTTTTATGTTGATATTTCAGTTAGCTGGACTTTATAAATTCATCACCATCACCATCAACAAAGCCTTTTCCCAATTAACTGAGGACAACTACACGAATTCTTGCCCGCCATTCTGCTCTATCAAGGGCCACACTCTCAATGAGGCCACAAATCCTCATATCTTTTTTCACTACTTCCAACCATATCCCTTTGGGCCCACCCCTTGCCAATTTTTTAGCCTTCCACTTGAACTAAATCACACCTCCTAACATGTGTTATACTGGGTTTGCATCACACATGGCCAAATCACCTAAGTCTACTTTCTCTCATCTTATCGTCTATTGGTGCCATGCCTAAATTCCCCCAAATGTATTCATTTCGAATTCTATCCCTTCTTGTCTTGCTACTCATCCATCTCAACATCCTCATCTTAGCTACACTTATTCTATGGGTATGTTGTTTCTTGGCCGCCCAACATTCTGCCCCATAAAGTAATGTTGATCTCAGAACTTGCCCTTCAGCTTCATTCGTATGCGGCTATCACATAAAACTCTGTTGCACATCTCCACTTCTCTCACCCAACAATTTATAAATTCATGTGGGCGAAAATTCAACTCTATAATCCTAGCCCAACCTAGAGGTTGTAGATTAGGATTTCTCATCAAGACAGTTTATTTGAAAGCAACCTTCATATAAGTCCTTCAAAGTGCTCTTGAGGCGGCTAGGTAACAAAGTTTTTCATGATTGATTCTTGCGAAATCAACACGGTACATAAACCAATTTTCCCTCAAAAGACTGGTAAAAATTTTCCAGGTTTGGCATCAAACAAGAACATGAGCTTGAAAGAGAATGAGAGCCCCAAGCTAGAGAAAACCCCCTTTTATAGACAGACTTTCTATAGGGTTTCTATGAGAGAGAAGAATAGAAAAAGAAAAAACCACCTTATCACAAACCAACCTTCTCTAGGGTTCAAAAAGAGAAGGGGAAGAATAAACCGCTGGTGGAGAGCCTCAAGCCAATTAGGGAAATTTGGCCCTAGAAGATTATTAAGCACTTTCATTCTTACTGAAGGAAAAAATGCCTCACCATTTTATGTGAAATATATAATAGAAGTACCAAAACAGTGGAGAAAAACAAC